GGAATTAATTAAATTGTAAGAGAAATTTTTTTAAATGAGATCATGAAAGTTTTCGTCAATTTGACGATTGAGCATTTTAAGAAAACAAATAGATTCTTTGAATACTTTTAAGATGAAAATAATTTTATAGAAATTTTACTAAAATAATGAAAAAATATTATGAAATTTTTTAATATTTGACTAATTAAATTTGGTTTAGAATAAAAGACCATTTAATTAAGATCAATTTAAGATAACAAAAAATTATTTTTCAAAATATTTGTTTATATAATTTGTAAATAATTAATTTTCATAATTAATAAAATGTGGTTATACTAATATTAATTCATATATTCAAATATAAAAAATTAAAATTAGTTAAATAAATAATTATTTAATATAATTTAATATAAAATTTAATAAAAAATTATCAATATTAAAAAAATTCCCTTGGCAAAGCAGGGGCGTAAATCTAGTTTATATAATGAGGAGAAAGTAGGAGATCACAGTTTTTTTTTTTTTTTTTAGTGGAAAGATAACCATATATTTATGAAAAGGATTAGGAAAAAAGTTGGAGAATTAGTTAAGAATTAAATAAGACTTAGATCATTTTAAGTGGAAAAATCTCTTTATTACGGGAAAAATATAATAACAATTCTTCCTACTTTATTTAAAAATAAATAATACACTTTTAAGTGATTTTGAGTTTGAACTAAAACTTTCTCCAATTTTTTTATAAGCTATATCCATCTTATGTACAAAAAAAAATTACACTATTAAGAAAGAAAATTTTGGAGGAAAGTAGATAGCTCAGTTTTGTATATATTTTTTTCCTTAATTCCACATAATTAAGAGAGAAAAGATATAAGAAAAAGTAAAAAAATAAAAAAGTTTTTTATCTTTTAATTTTGTAGAGTTCAAGAGAGAAGACCAAAGAAAAATTGAAAAGCTTTTGAGAAATTAAATTTGCTACAACGATTTACCAATTTGAAGGTTAACATTGTAGATAACATGGCTTTCTAAGAGCTAGGTATAAAACATAAGTTTGTTAATTTCATTTTAGTATTGTTTGTAGTTATTGAAATATTTTAGTTATATCAAAATATAATATATTTACAGATGATTTTTTATTTAGGTTTTGATATCAAATAATATCAATTATTTTCATTAATTTTGATTAATTTTAATGCATTTTAATGGAATAACCATTTTTCATTGGTACATTGTTGTGAAACATATTTTGCAATTATATTACTTATCTTTTATTTTTTTTAACTATTTTTAATCTAATAAGAAATTAAAAAAAACAAAATAAAATCTTTAAAATTTGAATCGTCTCTCTATTTTTTATAACAACTCTTATTTTATTTTTATATTTTGTTTCAAACCAGAGGTTCATATTTATTTAAATTTTTTTTAATAAAGCAATTGTGGTCACTTTCTAAAATTTAAGAATACTAAAGTCACGGTTTTTTTTCATTTTTCATTTTTATTTTAATATATTTTTATATAAAAATATCTATTTAAATATCATATGGTTAAATTAAATATTTAAAAATAAATTGATGATATTATTTTTTATACTTTTAAATTTATTTATTTAATATTTAAAGATATTACATATTTATTTTACATATTATTAATAATATTATTATATAAAAGTCCATATATATTTATATTAAATTAAAAATTCAAAAATAACATGCGAAAACAAGTAATGTTGATATATAGTATATATTTAAAAAATTAAAATATTATCCAATACAATTAACAATGATAGAAAGCGTTGTCGAGGGCAAGAGCCTCAAAAAATATTATCCAGAAGTAAATTATGTTGGACGAGACTTGTCGTTGTATTCGATTATTGGATAATTTTTAAGCTCAACACGCAACCAAAAAAAAAAAGCATTATTATCCCATTCACTGTTAGCAGAAACTACAGAACCCACAAGTGAGTCTTTTTACTTGCCACGTATCTTTATAGAAAAGATTCTTTTTTACGTTAACGTCAACAGTCCTCAGTTCTTAACCTTCCATCTCATAACTTTTTCCCTGTCACAGTCCCTCGATTCTCACTCTGTTCTTAGTTCTTTAACCATGCAACTCCCAAACTTTTGCTATCTTTCTTAAAGCCTCTTTGCTTCTGTTTCAAATTAAATGTCCATGCCCGGAGATGACAATTTCTATTTTCACCTTCTGCAGCTTCAGAAAGTGAAAGAGGAAATTGCTGAAGTGGACTTCAGTCTTGCCCAACACAACCTCTACTTCTTTGTAATCCTCTGTCGTTACTTTAAGAAATTAGTGCTTTTTTTTTTTCCTTTTATTAATAATGTTCAACCTTCGCTCTAATGCTTGTAAAGTGCATTTTTTTCATTTATAGAACCTGACGTCATAGCCATTAAAACTAAACTGGTCTAACCCAATTTAAAAATGGGAATTGAATTTGCATCAAGTAATGTAAAAAACAACAAATTGGTTGCAGTAATAATTCAAAGACTATTTCCCAGCAAAATTAGTTTTCGACCAAAAGAAGAGAAATGAAACTAAAAGTTTACGAATTATTTTTGGGGCAATTAATCAAACATCTAACCCATAATTTATTAAAGGAACATTCACATGTCAATTGTAAGACTATGAAAAATAGTTTAATAAAACGTGTATTTAACCAATTAGAGGGGAAAACGAAAAATTTAATACTTGTGTGGAATAAACTTAAAAAAAAAAAAAAACCTTGCAAAGAGAATTGAAATTAATGAAACGAACATAGGTATGCGATGAAAGCTTGCAAGAGAGAATTGAGTGACTGAAAAAAGATCTAAGATTGAAGGTTGAGAGAGAGCTTCTAAGTTTGGAAGAAGCGTGAATAAGAGACGTGTACAAATATAACAGAAGTTTAGGAACTCATGATATTAAAGGACTGTTGACGTTAATGGCAGAAAAGAAAACTTTTCTATAAGGATACGTGCCAAGTAAAAAGATCCGCTTATGGAGTCTTTAGTATTGAATAATAATCCAAAAAATAATTTGTGTTTCACTCAAAAAAGGTTGTTGCTGTTCCCCTATACCAAAAATGGTGAAAGTGGGTTCATTAAGGCCAATAGGGCCATTGCCATGGCCTGGGATCAGATGCCTTCGAAAACGTTTCCTCGTGCTAGGAAAGCTTAGTAAGTACTGGAACGGTCATATTCCATTTTCAAGGCACTGCGATATAAGTAGTTGTTAAATCCAGAAACCTATAGCTCAGTCAGTGTTGTTACAGAATTGGATTAGTAGGGAGGAAAAGGAAAAATACATCGAGGGAATTTGGGGTCCAATAGAATATGGCAGATTTTGGATATTGGTTCTAGTAAATTTTGTAGCCCATGATTCGGACCAATGAACCATTTGGTTTAGTTGGTTTGGGCCATTTCTAAACTCTTCTCATCTCTTTTATCCCGTTACAAAATGGATTTTTATTTCATCGAGAAAAAAAATTAAATTTATTCATGGATAGGATAATTCGCTATGCATGTGAATTTGGTTTGATTCAGGTTGAATTGTTGAGAGAATTTTTTCATATCCTAGTGGACTTGAGGCATTATTTAAAATTTTATTTTTATTTATTTTTAGTTTAAAAATGTATTTAAAAATATTAAAATATTTTTAATTTATAATATTCCTAAGTATAATCGAGGCTAAATGGTTGGGTTTGTGCAGGCAGGCCATACTCTATCCAGGGCTTGATTATGGCATTTACAAAGATGGCAACCAGACGTACCTTGATTTATGGATAATTCTAAAACGCAGAAGATGGATTTGACTCTCTTGGGAAATAATTTGTTTCTGCAAATCTATTGATTTGTAAACAATTAGGAATGGAGTGGTTTATTTGATTTTGTACGAGGAACAGAGAAAGTGAGATTATTTATCAAGGAATACTAAGGTAATGTAGGTTCTTAAAAAGTGTATTCATTTTTTGTTTTCATTATTTTGAAAAGTAAAAAATAATGAGTGAAAACGTGTTTGATAATTAAAAATAAAAATAAAATTTTAAAAAATAAAATAAAAATGAATTAAAATATAAAACATATATTTTTAATTGTGAAATTATGGGATTTATGTTATTTTTTTCTTATATTTTTTAAGTTATCATAGTTAAATATTTTTTAATATCATTAATTAATAAATATATATTATATTTATAATTAGATACTATTAACAATAATATTATTGAATATTTTATTTATTTCTCTCTTTTAGCATTTTTAAAAAATAATTTTTATTTTCGTTGGCTTAATAAATTTTTTAGAAAACAAAAATTAAAAATTATTTTTTAAAAAATAAAAATAAAAAATAAAAAAATTATTTTATCAAACCAAACAGAATCTGGCCAATGGGAAAGATGAAACTAAGTCCATAACAAGGAATTGAATAATGGGGCAATGAGACATTTTAAGACCAAATTAAGGTCAGGGGAATATTCAATTTGGCCTGTGCAGACTAGGAAGTTTTGTCAAATCTATTTTTTTAATCAGAATGAAAATTTCACATACCAAAATGAAATGAATTTATTCATAATTAAAAAGTATCTAAATATTTGATTTAGTTATCATAGGTGCTTTTTTTTTTTATCTTTTATCCAATGAATACAGGTTTGAATATCTCATTTTTTAAATAAAAAATTATAATTCGAGAAATAGATGAAAAAATTAACCATTAATTAATGTAAAAATGAAAATTCAAATAATTAAGTTGAAAATAAAAAGATAAAAAAGACTAACACATGTCGCCTTAGTTTAGAAATAAAAGAATTACTGAGATTTTTTGTACTCATGGATTGATGAAAGTAGTGGTATAATGCTAGCGACAATTTTGCGTGGCATGGGATGGGGGGGGGGGTGCGTTTCACTCGCAAGTCGTATCGTTCATTTGCTTAGAAAAGATTTATATTATTGCAATCACAAGATTTTTATTATTTTATAGAATTATTATAGCAAGACGTTGTTACACGTGAAAGAAGAAAGGGAGGGAGAAGCAAAACTGTTCACATGGAAGATGAGATAGATTTACGATGTCAAGATAAGCGTTTTCCAACGTACATGTGGCACTCAATTCCTCATTGTTTTTCTAAAATTTAGAGCCAAAGGAAAAAAAGTAAAGAGCAGCTTGCTCAGTCTCACATCTCTCCTACTTTCCCTCCTCTTCTCTTCCTCAAATCAATACTAATAAAACAAACCCAACCCTCATTGATCCATTCAGCCCTGAACAGAAGAAAAAGATCATCCTAAAGTTAATATAGACATGGCTTCTTGTTGCAACTCCATGAGACTGGAAGGTTTCTGCTCTTCTGCTTTCAGATCATCAAATGCCTTTCCCGTCCCTTCTTTTTCTTCTCATCTCTATACCCATCGCTTCCCTCTCAAAAAGATTTCCTTTTCAGTATCACACTCTCCTTCTTTCACCATCAAAGCTTCTTCTTCCTCCACCACCATTGCTGAGCCTGAAGGCATCAAGGTTCTATTTTATTGCCATTGGTTTTCTTTTTTTTTTTTTCTTTTTAAATATGGTTGTAGATTAAATTGTGGTTTTTGGGTTTTCTTTATTTGAATTTACAGATAAATTCAGTTCCAACTAAGCCGATTGAAGGGCAGAAGACTGGGACAAGTGGGCTTCGGAAAAAGGTGAATTTCTTTTTTTTTTTTTCCGCTGTTATTGATATTACTTTGATTCTAAAAGTTGAATTATTTTATTTCATTGCTTAAGGGAAGATAAGAACAGGGAGTACAATTCTGGTTATTTTGCCAGCTTTGTTCGATAAAAATTGAAGCATTTGTATTGAAATTGGGTTGGATCCAATTGCTTAACATCAAAGTCCATGGAGTTCTTTGATTTTGGTTTTATTTAATACAATTTCATTTGTTGCAGGTTAAAGTTTTCATGCAAGAGAATTACCTTTCAAATTGGATCCAGGTTTGGATATTTGCAATTTTCTTTTTCTTTTTGCATTCATTTTCTTTGTTTAGTGCTTGCTTGCATTGATGGGTCGTGCCTCGTCTGTATGCAGTCGTTGTTTAATTCATTGCCACCAGAGGATTACAGGAATGGAGTGTTGGTTTTAGGAGGCGATGGACGATACTTTAACCGTGAAGCTGGGCAGGTCATTTTTGAGCTACTACTCAATTAAGAGCCCATTGTCTGCTTGGATTTGGTTTAAGTTCTTTTGCCATATCAAACCTGAAATTTCCTGTTAATATAGCAAACAGGACTAGGAATAGAAAAGAACACAAACAAAATCATCCCTGTTTATGTATGTACTTGAAAACATTAGTCCTTTTGACTGACTTCTAGGAATATTTGAATTTGAAAATGCAGATAATTATCAAAATTGCTGCCGGAAATGGTGTCCGCAAAATTTTGGTTGGCCGGTAAGTGTTCTTTATTTACTTATGTTCTTGACTAGTGTCACCATTGTTCATGGGAGGAATGATTATTGAAACTTGAAATATGTCTGAACTTGTCATCCCAGCTTTGATGGTTTAGGTATTAATGAATTTGTTGACTAACTGTTATTTTCATCATCAGATAAGCATTTGCCTAGTTATGTTTTCCAGATGTTTAATTTGATTAAAGAATATAACTCAAGGAAGGATGGGGAATTACTCCTTCATTTACAATACATGCTTTATATGTCACTTGGTGGTGCCCTCCTTGTGCTGCATCTACTAATCTCAATAACAGTTGCCTCAGACTCGCAGTTGATGGGTGGTGAGAGAAGAATCTTGATTACTTGGAGCTTTAATTTGCTGATCTTTTCTCTGTGGAGAATTCTAATGCAATCTATCTAATTTCTTCAAAAATTTTAATCATCCTTTAGAGGGAAAAAAAAAAGGTTGATGGAGCATTGCATTTTGTGTCTGCCCAGAAATATTTACTCTAACTACTGTTTTTGTTGCAAATAAACTTTTCTAATTCTTCATTCTCTGAAAATTAGATCCTGGGATGCTGGGTTCTTATGATGGAATTAAAGATGGAATATAACATTGCAGGGAATGTATTATGTCCACACCAGCTGTTTCTGCTGTAATTAGGAAGAGGAAGGTAAGCATGTCTCTTTTCACTTTGATTTCTATGCATTGTGTCAATGTTTACGCATTTATGTATTTTTTCCCCTTAGGCCAATGGTGGATTTATCATGAGTGCAAGCCATAATCCTGGAGGCCCTGAATATGACTGGGGTATCAAGGTTTATTTCATGTCTGGTTAGATTATGAAAGCTACATTTATTGAAATTTGACAGTGCCACATCACTTCCAACTCTAGAATATATTATCTGACTTTAAATGCTGTTTTGTTTATCCATTTGTTTTCTAGTTTAACTACAGCAGCGGGCAACCTGCACCTGAATCCATCACTGACAAGATCTATGGGAATACACTTTCTGTAAGTATTGGATTTTACCGTTAAATATTATACATTTTTGTTTGAAGAGTCAATTCCTGGTTGGTTAAAGAGTTAGTGCAAAGAAAACTTTAGCTAGAGTTTGTCACATAAATGACTCGTAAATCCACCATTATTCTTGGGTGCTGCCGCCTTTTCCTGGATATCTTTGATTTGTTTGGGAGTGAGCAAATCTGGATTAAAAACTGTAAGCTCGTCAGATAAATGAGTCGTAAATCCACCACTATTCTTGGGTGCTGCTACCTTTTCACAGATATCTTTGATTTGTGTGGGAGTATGCTAATCTTGATTACAAACTGTTTCCCTGATTCAGTCATTCAGTTTCAAAAATGGGATCGGCATTAGTTTTAGATTCAATCATGACCAGTTCAAGGAAATACAACAACAAACAACAGCAACACACTAAGCCTTATATCCCTTACTCTGGAGGTCAGCTGGATAAAAGACCAAATAAGGGAATCATGTTAAGTTGTAGTTTGAATCTTTTTGCGCCACTCATCTCTATCAACAACAACCTTTTCATTTAATTTCTTAACCATCATATCGTTTTTTATTACTTGCTTTCATGTTTTTCGTGGTCTACCTCTAGAGATTTTGATCTCTTCTAGATCTAGAGACTTAATTCTTCTAACCGGTGCTCATCTAGACCTAAGTTTCACATGTCCAAACCATTGCAAACGGCCCTCTCTCATCTTTTCTTTAATTCGGATTACCCCTAATTTTTCTCGACTTTCTTCATTTTTGATTTTGTCTCTTCTAGTCTTACCATACATCCATCTAAGCATCCTCATCTTTGCTATGTTTATTTTCTTCTTGTTTTGTTTCTTAATAGCCCAACATTCAGTTCCATATAGCAACGTAAGCCTTACAGTTGTTTTATACAACTTTGCTTTTAAATTTAAAGACATGTTGCGATCACACAATATACCCGACACACTTTGCCATCTTGCTCATCCTACTTGAATTCTATGCTTGACATCCGTTTCTATCTCAGTATCATTTTAAATAATTTATCCCAAATATTGAAATTGGCTACTCTTTGGTACTACTTCACCTTCCAACTTAATCACTGTAGTGCCCTTTTCTCTGTGATTACTAAACTTGCATTCCATATATTCAGTTTTAGATCTATTCAATTTAAAACCTCGAAACTCCAATGTACTCCATAGTTCGAGGAAATAAATGAAAAAAAAGAAGGCCTGCTTCCTTAATTCACACAAGATGTTTCCGAAAATTTTAAACCTCTCTATAATTGTTCATTTTTTAATATTAATGGAATTACATAGTCAAACTATACTATTTATACTCCAAAACTGGGTGAGCTGTTAAGTCTTGGTGCTGCCACAATTTGGAGGCAGTTGTGACTTCTGTTTCACACTTGCATTTCTGTTCTTGACCATTTCTACTGGTCAATCCTTTCATTTTGTTATGTTTTTAATATTTATGTGGAATGAAGATTTCCTGCTTGATGTTTGAAAGTGGAAATACTATGCAGATCTCTGAGATTAAAATGGCTGAGATTCCTGATGTTGACCTTTCTCGCCTTGGAGTTACAAAGTATGGAAACTTCAGTGTTGAGGTTGTAGATCCAGTTTCCGACTATTTGGAATTAATGGAGGTGAGGAAAAAAATCAGCCAACTCATTCTATAATTCTGGATAAAACTTTACATGTTTCTATTGATAATATTATTATGGGATTATATGCAGACTGTGTTTGATTTTGAGCTAATCAGAAGTCTTCTCTCAAGATCAGATTTTAGGTATGCCTTTTCCCTTGTATGAGCAGGAATGAGTACAAGTTATATTAGTTTGCTTGCTAGTTCCTAGCTTCTTCTATGTTTGGTTAATTCAAATGTTGATTGCTTGCTGTAAAGTAAAAAGAACATACTAGATGTTGCCACAAGAAGGATCATATATGTGCCCTAATATGTCTATAACAACAAATTCTGTCTTATTTCTAGTTATATATTATTTTTAGTGGACCACATTATTCAGGGCCCTATTTAGAGTTGTCGGTCTCCATGTAATGAACATTCTAAATTTCCTGTTCTCATGAACGTTTGTCAGGCAATATCCTTGAAATGGAAGCTTATTATGAATCCTAAGCAAGGATGCATCTAAATTTGTTTCATCCAGGCAAAGATATCCGACATCATTAAAATTGTTGTCAGACTATTCTCATCCTTAGTCTTTCTTTTTCTTCCTTTTTGGGAAAACAAGATGACAATTCTTATTCAGAATATATTTATTATCCACCAGGCGCCAAGTACATGATCCGGACTCTTGTGTCTTGTTCCTCTGTGCCTTTCCGTTATCATTTTTGTTGATTCATTTAATGATGCATTCTTTGTTTGGTTAGTAGTGGTTTTGCCTTTAAGTATTTTACTTTTTTTTTTTAATTATTTACCTCTCTGAATCCTGCCTTGAATTTGTTCTTATAATTTTTCCTCTTATTAAAGCAGTTAGCTCTTCTATCCATGGCCTTGCCAGAATCCTCTTTTCTAATATGCTTGTGAAAGATAAGATCTTATCACTAAAGTTTACCGTATTGGGTTTTACTTTATAGGTTTGCATTTGATGCCATGCATGCTGTTACCGGTGCTTATGCAAAACCCATTTTTGTGGACAAGCTAAGAGCCAGCCCGGTACATCATACACATGAAATATCTGAAATATGCTATTAACATAACTGCTAATGAAGTTCCTGACTTTAGATGTTAGTTGTGTCATGTAGGATTCTATATCGAATGGAGTGCCTCTGGAGGACTTTGGACATGGCCATCCAGATCCTAATCTTACGTAAGACAGGCACCAGTCATCACATGCTAAAAATCTAGATTCTACTTCAACAATTTAAAACTGTACCACATTCTGATCTGTATGGCAAAACAGGTATGCAAAGGATTTGGTCAATACCATGTATAGTGAGAATGGACCTGATTTGGGGGCAGCAAGTGATGGTATGTTGGAAGACCAAAGACAAAAGAAATTTGTCTTAAATTTTCTTGAATTATAAGATTTCTCCAGTTTGTTGTGCATGTATAATAGGATTCATTCACTAACATCATGTTTCTAAATTTGTTTGTGCTTCTAAATCTACACAAGTATGGAAGAAAGTGAAAAATCCAAAAGTTTGGCTTAAAAAATAGAGAAACATGGAAGAAAGAGAAGAAAAAAACTCGTAGATTAATGTTAGAATAATTTGGAGCTTTCCTAAACCTCCCATTGTATTCTGAACTTGATGAATTCTTATCTTGAGTGTATGACTGCTGATTAATCTTAGGGTTTCCATTTGCATTGCACAAGGGCTTCTGAGAACCATAAATTATCACTCCTTTCTTCTTGAAAACTTGGTTCTTGTTGAGCTTAGGCAAGCTTAACTGCTGTAAATTCATGTGAGTTTTCTCCTTTTATTTCTCTTCTCTTCCATGCCAACATCCTTTTCCCCTAATCTTCATTTACTGATCGTCAGTTTGGAGTATCGCCCACCCACCTCCTCTTTTAATCCAGAATGCATGCTTATAGTTATATCTGTTCCACATTTAAAGAGAGGAGAATGTTGCAAAGTTTGTAGCTAAAGTTGAAGCGTCAACCATGGTGGTATTGGTACAGAAAGCCAACCTTAATAGATAATATACTAATTTAGAAAGAGATAGTTGTATAAAATTACTGGAATGCCCTGTTTTCGAGCAGATTGGACTCATTTTGGTGGGAGACTTAATCACAATTGGAACTTGGGGGCCTTAAGAGTAACCTGGTTGATTTTAATCTTGAGTATGATGCTTAGAATATTCTCCTTATGTTCTTTTTCTTTTATTATTATTTCTTTTATTTTTTTCTGGAGAGAGATAATGCTTGGGACATGGTTGACATGCTGAAGTACCTTACAGAAGCACATTGTCACAGTTATTTAAATTAACTTGCATCTTTTGTTCGACTCTGTTGTAGATCTGTAGTTATTATATATTGTCAATCTGTCATTGTCCCACTCCAAGCTTGTAGACCAAAAGTTACATGATTTTGTTTAGTATAAAAGGTGGAGTTGATATACTCTTCTGTTGAATCACAATCAACTTGTTTCCTTATTACTCAGGGGATGGCGACAGAAACATGATTCTCGGTAAAAAATTTTTTGTCACCCCTTCAGACTCAGTTGCAATTATTGCTGCAAATGCACAAGAAGCAATCCCATACTTTACGAGTGGTCCTAAGGTACCAAATTTAAGCAGCGTCGCTTTTCATCTTTCTTATACCAAAGATAGATTACTTATGTTTCACATTTTCAGGGTTTAGCTCGATCCATGCCAACTAGTGGTGCTCTTGATCGTGTTGCCGAAAAATTGAGTCTTAGTTTTTTTGAGGTGACCACTTTTCTCTACTATTGTGCTCTAATCTTCTAAGAAAAGCCATATAACGGGGACGGGGGATTATATTCCAAGGATGCTATCTTCAAACAAACTACTGGAATTTTCTTTTCAGGTTCCCACTGGCTGGAAATTTTTTGGAAATCTTATGGATTCTGGAAAGTTGTCAATTTGTGGGGAAGAAAGTTTTGGTACTGGTTCAGATCACATTCGTGAGAAGGATGGCATATGGTAATTGCTTACTTTAATTTACTGGTTGTTTAAACAAATTGCTTACATTTGCTAAAACTGAGACTTCTTGTCTTATCAGGAATATTGACTTAATGGTGTAAACAGTCCTAAAATAATAAGGTGAATGCATGAATTATTTATATTATAATATCTTGAATCCATTGCCTTGGTGGCAATGGACTATGTTGCCAATCTCAAGTAGTTTGAAAACTCTGGGTACAATTGTCTCCCTTTCCTGAACGGTGTTCAATTTGACATTGTTTTACCATTGTACACCTTATATTGCAAACTTTCAAATATATTTTCCTTATTGTCCTCATTGTGCTTCTTTTAGCGTCTTGTATGAATCCTTCTTGCTTTTTAAATATGTTATTCTTTAGCAGTTTGAGAATTTGTTACTACAACTTCTGACAAGCGTTATAAAAGCAAAATCTTAGCCATCTTAGACCAACAATTTAGCTTGTAAATTAAAGTCTATTATTAAGGTCTCTGTTTAATGTATGATATAGAAACATTGTCAATTGATTCCAAAATCACAGGAATCTATATTAAGACCACTTGCCAAACATGGTTTGGTGAAGATTGTTAGTGGCACATTTTGATGGTAGCTACTATGCTATAGAGCCAGATTTGATTATAGGTAATGGATGGTCTTTCATTCTCTACTAACGAATATCATATGGTGCATAAAGTATAGCTGTTACCTATTTGTGAATTTTCTTTTATAGGTCCAGGCTTATTCTACTATAATGGCAGCTTTGGTGGAATCACTGCTTGCTTCTAAAAAGTTCACAGCTCAACAAAATGTTGGAGAATTTGTATTAAAAAAATGAGATAATTATGATATTTGACACACTCTTGAATAGCTAAAAACACTAAATGTAGTTACTTTCATGACAATTTCTTATATCTGAATACTTTCAAAAGGGGAGGACAAGGAGAAAATGTAATTTGCACCCTCCTCTTTTATTCACATTTCACTTTTACTTTACTATCTCAGCAAAGAAACAGTTCAATTTGTCTCTTCGTTTCTTCTCTCAACTTCTCTCGACCCAACCACATTCATTACTTTCTTAGGTGCTTATTTTTTGGTACTTGAGGTTGTTAGGGATGGAATCCTGGTCATTGGAACTAAGAGTCCAATGCTTTACCAACAGACCACGTGGTTGTTGGCTTCTTAAGTGCTTATTTACGTATGCAGTATCTTTATAATTGCATAATGGACCTGAATACTTGCATTACTGGTACTCCCACTTGTTTTCACCCTTGAGACCTAAATTGTGTTTTAAGGTAACTTTTCCTTGTTTATGATGCTTGTAGATGTTGTTATTCACTGTAAACTTATCCATGGGTCAAAGTATAATGATGTCTAACTTTGTCAACGACAGGGCTGTTTTAGCATGGCTCTCAATTATTGCATATCGGAACAAAGACAAGAAACCAGGAGAGAAATTGGTGTCTGTCTCTGATGTTGTCAAAGAACACTGGGCAACTTATGGAAGAAATTTCTTTTCTAGATATGATTATGAAGTAAGCGAAATAGCTGGCTTTTTAAACAAGTTAGCATGAGTTTATAGTTTCTAGTTCAGTTCAGCTCAGGAATTCCTTGTTTTTGGAGAAGGTGCAATTCTCTAATTCTTGCGATTCACTGTTCAGGCATGTGAATCTGAAGTTGCCAACAAAATGATTGAATACCTTAGAGATTTGGTCTCAAAGAGTCAGGCAGGTGAAAACTATGGTAAGTTTCAAAGAACCTTCCCTGCACCTGCAACTGTAAATGTCTTTATTTTGCATCTGTTTGACTGCTTAAAATCCCTCATTGTAGGAAACTATGTCCTTCAGTTTGCTGATGACTTTGCATACACTGATCCTGTAAGTTTTGACACCACATTTTCGTGGTCTATACTTAAAATTTGATCTCCGTCAACATATTACTGTACTATCTTCGAATTTCTATGCTTGGCGAGTCATATATTGATTGGTTCTGATATTTTAGGTGGATGGAAGTGTGGCCTCAAAGCAAGGTGTTCGATTTGTTTTCACAGATGGTTCAAGGATTATATTTCGTTTATCGGTATGTGCATTGCTTTGTTTCCCTTACTCAAATTTGAAGGTTCAAAAGTCATACCCTCCTACTCTTTCTCATGTTAATTTCTAATATTTATGCAGGGAACTGGTTCGGCTGGTGCTACAATTCGAATCTACATTGAACGGTTTGAACCGGATGCTTCCAAGCATGACATGGATGCCCAAGTGGCACTGAAGCCATTAATAGGTTAGTTCGTGATCATTTTATTTTTATATATTCCTTTAGGCAATTTATGAATAAATTGTGGTCGTATTTCAGATTTGGCGTTGTCTGTGTCAAAGCTGAAGGACTTCACAGGAAGGGAGAAACCTACAGTCATCACTTAAAAGCACACTCTCTGCTAAACCTCACCTATCAACTGCCATCTGAAGTGACTCTAGGATGGTTGAGCAATCCTTCATTCTTGCCCTCTGTTCAGTTTTATCTTATGCTATGTTAGTATGGCATTGTGGAATTGATTCCATTAACTGATGTGAATTATTTACACGGAAATAAAACATCTAGCTTCTGCTAGATTCAGTGAAAATAGATTGAAATAGACTCCGTGCAGATAGCTGGAAGATGCATTTTGACCAATGTGGAAGCTAATGCATCTTATGCATGGCTTGGCTGAGCCATTTTTCATTCGCAAACCAACGTGGCTCATGCTTCTGTGCGTCTCCTTTTCAGATGCTGAAAGTGAAATATGCGATTGATTAATTGTAGTCGTTTTTGAAATGATCCTTTGTTTTGGTCCTTCGTATGCATTTGGGTCTAAATTGAGTTTTTGCGATTCATTTCAATATTCGCTTTTCTGGCTTCGGCTTTGGATTTGGGTAATTGAATAAGGATCGAAATTTAGAGAATTTTCAGAACAAATCAAGAATGAAAAGGATCGAAAATTTGAGAATTTTCATAACGTAAACCTGTGAAAAATGTTGAAAAATCGAGATAAATATAACAAAATGGAAAAGTTGATAACTTAGGACCAAGAAATCGGAACCTAGCTGGCAGCTGTAACCTGCAAAAGGAAAATAGAATCGCAGCTGTTTCTCAAATTCCATCCCTTAATGATCCCTAGGGAACGTGTTTGAATGAAGTATTTGAAAGAAAATTTTCATTATAATCAAGATTTTTAAAATTTTTAAAATGATTTATTTATTTGAGCAAAAATAAAAGAGAATTTTAAATTTTAAATAAAATTTTAAGAGATTTTTATAATTTTTTCAAATTCTATATCTTTTTATTGCATATGATCACTATAAAAATACAAAACTAAAAAAAATTTATTTTATTAACTCTGATATATATATATATATATATATATATGCAAATCTAATCACATATCAAACTTACATATATCTTCATGCCTATTACCAAAAATTGTGACATTTGAACACCGTCACATCAGTTCCGTATTGCCACACTAACACCTTATCAGCAAAAAATACCATATCAGCCTCATTAAATCCATCCCCAGTTCCATCTCCTTGAAATATGCTATCCTTCTTTATTTTAGTAATTAAAACCTAAACCTTTTAATTTCCTTATTTGATTTCAATCCATCCAAAGTATTATTTAATTTTCAAGTCAATTACTTTTAATTCCCTTCCCCTTTCTAATCCCTTATTTTTTATGGGACGTTTGGTTCGCAGAATCTTGAATTTCGAAAAAAAGTATGATAATCGAGAAAAAACGATATTTGAGGTTTTTTTTTATTTTCGGGGTATCTTGTGTTTAGATTCACTTGTTTAATTGAAAGAAATTCACATATATTAATTCCTAAATAATTACCATAATCTCCTTAACATATATAATGTCAACTTTTTATTAGTTTTTATTAATAATAAATACCCAAATGACAAATGATGCCTTTAACAACAAAAAAATATTTTATTTGATTGCTATTTTTATTTATAAAATATCATCAATAAAAAATATTGAGGATTATTTATGACATTTCTAGTTGAAAAAACTAGAAATGCCTTAAATAATCTCTTTTATTTTTTTAAAGAGGATTATTTAAGTTATTTTTGGTTAAAAATACCTTAAATAATATTTTTTAATTTTTTAAAGGATATTATTTAAGGTTTTTTTAATCCCTCATGCTTTAAATAATCTTAAATATTTTTTAAAGAAGATTATTTAAGGTATTTTTGGTAAAAAAAATGCCTTAAATAATACTTTTCACTTTTTTAGACCATATTATTTAAGGCTTTTTTTTTAATTAAAAGCGCCTTAAATAATTTCTTTCATTACTTATAAAATTTAAAAGATAAAATATAAAAAAATTAGAGTAACTCAATAGATAAGAATGTATGCTTATTAACCTTAAGGTTGTAGGTTTAACATTTCATTTTAGCCTTTTAATTTTTTTAAGGTAAAAATACCTTAAATAATTCTTTTCATTATTTATAAGATTTAAGAGACAAAATATAAAAAAAATTGAAGTAGCTCAGATGGTTAAAGTGTATGGCTATTAATCATAAGGTCGTAGATTCAACTTTTCTTTTTAGCATTTATTTTTAGGGATTACTAATTTTTTTTGGGGGATTATTTAAGGTGGTTTTTGCCAAAAAATACTTTAAATAAACCCATTTAATTTTTGGTTGAGGATTATTTAAGGTATATTATGGTAAAAAACACGTTAAATAATTCCAAAAAAAAGTTGTACAAGATTATTTAAGGTATTTTTTACCATAAAATGTTTTAAATAATCCTAAAAAAATTTTACAAGATTATTTAAGGTATTTTTCATACCAAACGCCATTAATTACTATATAAAAAAAAATTTTTAGTAGCAAAAATCTACAACTGATTTATAGTCACTTCTAGACATACTTTTCAAAATAGTAACGATTATTTCATAATTTTTAATCCAGGTTATATTTGAAAATAATGTAATTTTCTTTTATAGAATCTTAAAATACCATAAGGGGAGGTGGGTTTTTTATTCCAGGACTTTAGGTATTGTTGAAAATTTATTACTTTCCCTTAGAATTAGATTACCTTGAACTAAATGTTGGAATCAAATTCCTAACAATAAGATTCCAGGGAAAAATGTATGAATTCCCTCGAACCAAACGCCCATTTAGGGAATTCAAAGAATGTTTCATTTATTTTCTCAACCTTTTCATGTTTCCAGTCCTTTGTTTCTTTCTCATTTATTTCAAGATTTGTTTTTCTAATTCCCTCCTTGAAAAGGCGTTGGAGAATTCAAAGAATTTAGATAGCTTGAGAGAAATTGAATTCTTAACATGCAATTTCATAAGGTATGTAACCCATTGTTTTCCCCCTTATTATTAATTGTTTATTAGCTTTAATTTTTAGATTTCTAAAAAAACCTGTTCATTTAACCTTTTTATTATAATTATAATAGTTTTTTATTTAATTCCTTAAAAATATATTTTGCTTGCTTTATTGGATTTTGGTTTTCTGCTATTATGGGATTTATTCAAGATTTGTCAAATTCCTTATCTTTAGTAGTTTTCCTTTGGATAATTCTTCACCAAAAGTATATCGATTTTAATTGAGAGGTTTAATTTTTTTCCCATTATTTCTTAACTTAAAGACAAACCATTTAAAAAAATAGTTTTCGAAAAGAAAGTTGACTAAATATTAAAAATCTATGTTTGAAAGGTTCTTTTTAAAAAAAAAAAATTTCTTTAGTATGTTAAATTCTTTGAAAACCCAAAACTTTGATGTGGTTGTAGTTAATTTCATGGTGGATTTAAGTTTTAAAACAATATTTAAATTTTATTTTTAATTTTTTTTTCAAATTGTATTAGAACAAAAAATATATGAATTTTTAAAAAATACATAACAAAACTCTTCTTAATATCTACTAATTTTTAACTTTTGTTTTTTTTTTACCCTTTATAGGCTAATTTTCGATTTCTCTTGGAAGTATCAAACCACTCTACTAGTGAAACAAGTATTTCATATGAAAAATTGTTTGCTTAATCAATATATGGTTTGAATGATTCTATAGTATTGAACAATATGTTGATGTTAATTTAGCTTAATTTATCTATGCTTATTATCATCATATGTCTTGTTGTTGCTTAAATATTGTCAACTTATGTTTAACGAAATATTCCCATTTTGCAAATTTTAATGCATGTTTTGAAGAAAAGAATTCCAATTAAACTTTTTGAGCTCTCAACTTATTTATTTTGCTAATAATTCATTGTTTTAAATATTATAATAGGGGAAAATCGCTGGTCACTATCGGTTAGAGTTTACGCTATTGTAAATGAACATTAATCAATCACTTGCATCATCAAATATGCACGTGTGGTTGTTGTAGCTTCATGATTGCTCTTAAATATGTACATCGTCTTTTAGTTATTGAAATCCTCAGGTAAACCACCTAATGTTAAAAACTAAGGGTGAAATAGAAAATATAAGTTAACTTCTTTTTTTATGGTTTTTTATTAGTTGATGGGGTTAGCTCTCGCATCTTAAGGCTTTTTTGTAGAGGGCTTGTTAGCTTTGAATTGATTAAAAATTTTGAATTGACAAAACAAAAATTTGCCTAACTTGAATCAAACTTTCATAATCTTAAATTGAACATTTTTTTAGCCTTCTATCTTGTCAAAATTCATTTAGGAACTAAAACAAAGCAAATTCTCGAAACAAAATGGGTCAAGGCAGGTTTTGGATAGAAGAGATCGATCCCTTCCCTTACTCGATCGATCCTCTAGCCAAAGGGATCGATCCATTTTTTTTTTAGAATCTAAACTCATGAAATTTTAGCAAGAACCAATCGATCCCCTCCTGTAGGGATCGATTGGTTGGGGTTTAAACCTACCTAATCGATCCCTCCCTTAAAGAGATCGATCTATTTTTTTATACAAAATGTTATCCTCATTTGAAAATCCATAAAAAGGATCAATCCCTTCATATAAGGGATCGATCACCTCGGTATGGGATTGATCCCTCTCTTAAAGGGATCGATCTATTTTTTATACATAATGTTATTCTTATTTAAAAATCTATAAAAGGGATCGATCCCCCCCACATAAGAGATTGATCACCCAAGCATGGGATCAATCAAGTAATATACCTGATTGATCGGGTAAGCTTTTTAAGACACGAAATTGGGCTTTCACACAACTGACCTAATCGATCCCTTATATAAGGGGATCAATCCCCTGATGTCCAGAAAGCCCCAACAACTATTTTTTTATCTGATATTTTATAGGTTTAAAGCATTAAATGCAAGACAACAGCTATCAACTCCTTTCTACATATAAATGAAGGCTTTCACTGCAAATCAAGAGTATGCATAGCTAAAAGAACTTATTACCTCCACCAACCATCTTGTTCAAGCATTCAAACTAGTTCAAAAGAGATAAAAGTGTTTAAAATCCTTCTTGTATCAATTTTCTCTAAATTTTCTTATCAATATTACTTTGTACTTCAAGCTAGCAAACACCCAAACTTAGAGAGGTTTTTTAAGTTTGCATAACACTTCAAAAACTTTGTATTGTGAGATTGTGAGCTTAAGGGAGAGGATAACCCTTAAAGGTTTATGGTGTTGACTGTGTAAAGCTTTAAGAAACTAAGTTGTAACTTTCAACACATAATAGATTGAACTTTTTAGCGAGTGAGGCTAAAGGAAATGACATATGTGCCTCAAGAAAGAATCGAACCTCTATAAATCTTGGTGTATAATTCTATATCTCTATATTTTATTTTAAAGATTGTTAGTTTACTCTCATTTATTGTGTTTATTTGCTTAGATAAATTATTTTACAAAATT